ATATATGGAAGAAGTTTTCATCTGCAGCTTCACATCTAGGACACAGAGCTGAGATCGGGAAGAGAGATGGATGTCTACAGAAGGAGGTGACATACCAATTAATTCTGAAGAATAGGTAATATTTGTTGACTACATGTAAGGATAATATCTGTTGTAGGTGCTTATGTCGGAAGATCTCCTTTACAATGTGTCTGATCGGGATAAGAATAGGTTGGTTATTATATTAATTATTATTTTTAACAAAAATTATAATTAAATTTTTTCAAATTTTTACTATTTAATAAATGTATAATCATTTAAATAATATATATATTTTTTAATAATAAAAATTAAAAAATATAATTTTTAAATAATTTCTTTTATATTATATTTATAGATTAAAATTATTTTATAATTAGAATATACATAACCCATGCTGTTTTCTAGTAAAGTGTGATGATTTATTCGACCTTATTTAGTTAACTGCAGTAATGACTAATGCTTTTATCCTTTTTATATTTCATCAAACTAAAGGTTCTTATCAAAAAGTTCAAACTTAAGAAGATCTTTAAAAGAAAATTTCAGCTTTAGAAAAATCAACTATCAACTTCCTTAGATCAAACTGCTAAATTTTTCCTTAAGTGCAAATACTTAAGAAAGGACTTGCTTTAGGAAAAGAACAAGAATCAAAAACTTCAAGAGCATTATAGAAAACTTAATGAAGACTTTCAGTTTATTTGTCAAGAAGGAAATGTTAATGTAGAAACTCTAGAGTAACTTCAAAGATATTTTAACTTTATTCAAAATTAACTTGTAAAGAATAGTAATCATTATTAATTTCTAATATGCCTTATCCTTCGTAAAGATCAATTAAATTAACATTTTTTTAATATCAATAAAATTACTACATATTTGTTTACATAAAATTATCTATTAATTATAATAAGAATAAATGCTATTTTATTATTATTATTATAAGAGCTAATAATTATACTGTTAATACTTTTGCTTTCACTCTTGTTATTATTTTCTTTCTCAATAATAATAAAATTTATTTTTACTATATATCATATGATCAAAATAAAATTTTGTTTTTAACCTCTATAAACTCCTAAATATTTTATATTCTAAACATAATTTCTTTTTCTTTCTATTTTTTTATTGATATTTTATACTATAAAATTTTTTAACATTATGATAGCAACTTTGCAATATTCCTTTTA